GAGTTGCATATTTCTATCTCGAGCCGTTAAGAAATGCCGCCATGGGTAGTAGTTTCATTGTCACCCGGTATATCATCGTAGAACTCAAAGTATATCATCGTAGAAATCAGAGTATATATCATCGTAGAACTCAAGAACTCAAAGTATATCATCGCAGAAATCAGAGTATATATCATCGTAGAACTCAAAGTATATCATCGTAGAAATCAGAGTATATATATCATACAACACACACCATCCAGCTTTCCTTTCAATGATTTCGTACTTCATGCAAAGCGTATAAACTTTCAACACAAACATAACAATACGCAAAGCGTGTAAGCTTTCAACGTTTCCATACTTCATGCAAAGCGTACAAGCTTTCAACATAGAGCTACACGTAAAGCGTCCAAGCTTTCAACGTTTTCATAATTCATGCAAAGCGTAGAAGCTTTCAACACAGAACAACACACAAAGCGTGCGTGCAAGCTTTCAATGTCTTAATATACTTCATGCAAAGCGTACAAGCTTTCAACACAGAACAACATTTCATGTGCAGAAAAAGTCTCACATGGACGGAAAATATAAACTTTGTAAATAAGTTAATCAAAAGCTGTAAACATTGTCAAAAGTAAAAAAAATAACAAGAACTTTTGATAGTCACTGGAAAAGGCTCTACACTCTACACAGTTCGCAGAGAGTACCTGAAAATGGATCAGCTCATTGTCGATAGGATACAATAAACCCTTCATGGGACCCATGTTGTCTTTGTTTAATACATTCGAGATAATAATGGTCACATTACATTTTCACAAATTTCAAACTCAGCGATTTTCCGAAAAAATTAATGATTAATTTTGAGAACGTTTTTTTTTTATCAACTTCACATTCGTCGTGAAAACTGAAAAATCTTAATGGGCCTAATCGGCTAACTATTAGCAAGATAGCTAAATAGGAGAATTTTCAAAATCCCGAACAACAAATTCTAGATCTAAAGGATCGAACATTCTATTATAATATTGCAGTAAACGGATCAATCTATTCAACAAAAATTGGTTACCTGGAAATCCTGGAATGGATTGCGCAACTGTTTGAATTCAATTTCCAGACTGAACTATTCCCCATGCCTTTTAACGTTAATAAAGCTGAGTCTAAGTGACATCCCATTTTTTTTCAGACGTTTCTAAACTAGTTCAAACTTTGCTCAAGTCTATCAAAAAGTTAATTTTAATTTACAATAAGTTGGCATCTTTCAACATAATGAAATTTGGAAATTACTCTTTCCGAAATTCCCCCATAAATCAAAGGAAATTTTGTGTTCTTTTTTTTTTTAATCGGACATTTCTCAATAATTCTAATATTGTTGATAAATCACTGACTGAACCTATGTTCCTAATTAATATTGAACGCTGTAGTTTTTACGTGAATATTGGCGAATTCTAAAAACAATTTCTAATATTCTGTCAATCAGAAGATCGAAATAAATAAATGGAAAAACATACTTTTTTTTCAGGCATACTCACAGAAGGATTTCGGTTTAATGGTGTAGTGACTTAAAAAAGCTTTTCTTTTTAATTCCGTTTAGTAGAACAAGGCTAGAAAACTCACACCTAAAATTTTTCCATGATTTTTCCACAGACTTTTACATAGAAAACCATTCCTTGAACTTCTCCGGAAAAACTAGCGGCACTCCGCTTGCTTGCTTCATGAAGATGTCACTAAGAATTTCGGTCGCCTATACAGGATCCGAATTTGGAAACACTTCTTTTATTTTTTTAAGAGTCGCGGCTAGCACTTTCGCTAATTGCTCCATAATCACAAAACTCGCGCTTGGAAATTTAATTTTCGGCACTAGTAAACTTGTGATACTTTTAGTGAATTTATCCCACTTCTGATGTAAGAAAAACGCTAGACTTTCGGCAATAAAAATAGTTTATTTCAAATTCACAAAAATATCCAGGCGACGATACGTTCAACAGGCTGAACAAAATGCAAGTCCGTGCAAGTCCCCGTCAAAAATCTCTAAAACTATCGACTACCTAGCCTAAAACTTAGCTGTTTTTGATGGACCCTTTCAACGTTGCCGAAGTAACGATGGGTCGGGTCATAAACATTGAATCATGCAACCTAAATAATAAAACGAAGAGATCAACTATGGATTTGAACAAATCCTTTTGGCATCGCTGGTCACGCCTCTACTCTTGGAGTACCGGGTACCTAGATTCTCGCATATATGTGTTTCTGTCTGTTTCTTCATCAGGCCCAGGAAAAGAGATGGAAATACACTCAGTGCTCATTAAATTTACCAATCGGAAAAACCATAAGCTTGAATACCGGTTGAGAAATTTTCTGCACCTAAGTCAAATTCCAACTTTTCAATTTTCTTCTTAACACTATCCATCTCTTGGTGAAAAAGTTGCCACTTCGAACGAACAGTTACAATTTCTTCACCTACTTCTTCTATTATATTCTTGATTTATATATCTTGTCCTTCCAAGGATTTTCTCTTGTCTGGTTTGTTCCTCAGAGAATACGGTTACAAGGGATTCTAACCGTAATCTCGCTGAAATTTAAAAGTTTCCATGTTTTTTTTTTTTCATGTCCGAACTTGTTGTTGTAGAAGTGCTGCAAGCCGATCTTTTTCTCCTTATCTTCAGGCTCATTTTCTTGTCCTTCTTGCTGTCTATGATCTTCCTCTTCTCGTATTCCTTTCTGTCTCAGATCCTCCTCTCCTTGTTCTTTTTTCTATCTCCGATCTGCTTGTTAGTGTGAAAGTACTGCAAGCATGTCCTGTTCTTGCCATCTTCTTCTGCTCTCTTCAATATGTCCAGGAACATTTGATGACCTTGTTCGGTCCATTTCAGTTGTATGCTATCCCATGTTTATTATTGAATAGGCGCTCTGTATATTTCTTGAAATTCGATTCCACAAATTAAGTCCTTTGTCGAACTCAAAATACCCGTACCATGTCTAGGTACCGGCACGTTGGTACTTGGTAAAATTAAATGGGAAATAATCATATTTAATTTGGTACTAATCAGCTCCAAATTGCGAATAATCAATTTTGATTTGGGAAGCAACAAATTCAAATTGGAAATAGACCTATTTGGTTTAGGTATTAATATAAATGCCCAGCGAAGAAAATCAATATATTAATGAAAAAGGGAATTTGAACAGTAATGAAATGGGATTCTGATAAAGCTTGTGAGGCTTTCGTGGTTCGCGTTTATCGATGAAATATTTTCATTTGGGCTTAGTGACAGTCGTGAGTTCGAAATTTTTTCCTGACGTTTCGCTAGCACACGTGGCTAGCATCTTTAGAGGTGCTTCCATGTCCAATTCTGGTAGCAGTCTGCTACCAGACGTCAGAAAGAAATTCCAACTTACAACGGCCCTTAGGTCCGAATGAAAACATTTCATAAAAAAGAGATTTTGTTCAAATTTTTCTTCATCAGTCATTTATACCTTAGGTTCTTCTGGAATGTTTGCTTTTCTCTGTCCCCCACGTTTCCTTCGATGAACTTCTTGGGTACCTACCCATCGATAAGCTGTATATACATAATTTTTTTATACCCAGTGTGTTAGCCAATCCTCTTCAGTCGCCGTTGTTTTTGAAAACAGCACGTATTTGCTTCTTAACATTTTCATTTTTCTGCATCAGGTGCTTTAATGTAAGGCATTTTGTTAATTCAATATAGGTACGGTATAAACGCGTAGCTGCCGTTTGACTTACAAAACTTTAAAATTTATTCAACAATTCCAATTTGAAGTTGATAAGTACCAAATTTAAATTGTTTATTTCCAATTTGACATTGTATATTATTCCCATTTTGAACGTGTTAGTTATTAATTAAAAGTTGATTCATTCCAATTTGAAATTGCTACGTTCTAAATTAAAATTGATTGATCCCAATTTGAAAGCTGAAAAGGTATAGTCTTCTAGTATGAATAGGCAAGACTATAGTTCATACAATGAGGCACAAAAAGCCTCCAAGGTTGAACTGTAGGGTATGGGCTTGAAAGGGTGAACGGACGAACGAACCATGTCTTGTTTTGAAATGGAACTCGATGGGATATTCTAGAAAAATCACTCTGTGGACTTGTTTTTCGATGTCAAAGACTACTTCTAGTGATTATCTCGCTAATTATCCCCTTAAGGGCCAAATTTTATGGACCGACTGATAGCATCCCTGGCAAATTTATTCTGCTGGTAAAGCTAGAAATTGCTATTGATGTTAGAGATGTTATCAGTGGGTCCATAATTTGAGTCTAATAAGCACAAACTAATTTACTATATAGTTATCTTGCCAATAAGTATTTAACTAGAGAGATTGATTTAGCCGATACTTGATAAAAATCCATCATAAATTTTGATGTAGGTATTTAACTATTCAGCTAAAATTAATATAACATGGCTCGCTAATCATTCCACATTTGACTCCAAATTTTCGCGGATTTGGTGCACTAAAACCTCGTCTTACTTACACCAATTAATTTTCCAACACTGCTCTTATTAAAACTTAATATACTAAATCATTCAATCGAGAAATTTCTAGAATAACATAAATGCTTGTTTATTTAAATCACACAATGGATAAGAATATGCGCGCTCGCCTCGGCATAAAATTTAAGTTTATGGGTAGGTAAAGTGCGACGACTGAGTGAACATTGGTAACGTATGAAGTAGCAGAGGGGAAGACAAAAACCTATACTATATGACGCGACGGGTCCCCGACGTGGTGCGTTGCAAAAATTGCGGTTACCCTGACGCGACTACCCATGTAGATATATATATATATATTTTATCTCGCGCCAATCAGGAGGGTTTTGCTCGCATTCCTTCCACACAGGTTCATTCAGTTGTCGCACTTTACCTACATTTCCCTAATAAGATAGCAAAGAATCGCTATCAAGAACAGTGTCAGTTTCAAATTTTCCACTGCCTGCTTTCATCGCTTAATACTTTATACCCCGACTATTATTTTTATCTACAATTTGAAATAAAAGAGTTGTCTTCTCAGGTGAAAATGGCACTTATGAACGACGCAATGCTTCTGCTAGCGGAATCTCTTAATGCCCTTAAATCAACACATGGCGAGGACGAAATTGTTTACGAGCCCTTGTTTTGTAACGCTGCTGAAAAATACAGCGATAAATATGGCTTGATGTCAAAAATGCACGAGGTAAGCCTTTAATAATTCATTACGCGCGCTTTAAAATGCAGTATCTCTTTATTTATTTTTGCAACGTAAATGGGGGACAGTTTTAAAACGGACTTTTTACTTGTTTGCATCATATACCGGGTGTCTACCAGGGCCGGTATTCTCGTTCCCGAAAACGCTCACCGCTTTTAAGTCGCTCGGCACTTCTAATGTAAATTTACATTGAAAGTGCCGAGCAACTGAAAAGCGGTGAGCGTTTTCGAGGACCAGAATACCGGCCCAGATCAGTTTCGCGCTGGCATTTGCTGGTTTTTTTTTCGATGGCAAAGATTTTTGGTATGGAGTGTAGGTTTGAGCAATGTCATCTTTTGACATGTGTGTCAATATTTAGTAAGTTCCGGTTTGACCGGAAATGGTCCTAACTCCGTAATTTTGAATGGCATCCCAATATTTCTTTTCGCATTTTTGGTATCTGCGGTTCATGATGTGTACGAAAACGTCAAATTTGAACATTTTTGAAGAAATTTTAGAACTCTGGATGAAAAGTTATTTTTGAACAGAAAGTGACGGAGCGGTCTTAAAATTGTTATTTTCAACCCACACAATCGTAGAAAAATGCGAGTCCCAAGATGTTACCTTTTGCTTGCTCTCCAAAGGCATCCAAAATTGGAAAAATCACATTTTGCGTGATAACTCAATGAAATCAGTGAAATCACCCAACTTTAACAACAAGAGATTTTTACCTTTTTCAAAATAAAACCAACTATGCATTGAAACTTTTCATTTATGTTAGTTTTTAATTATTTTCTTATTATTTTTACAATGCACTAATATAAATGATAAAACTACTTATAAATGAACCCCTGTATGAAGAACGCTTTTCAAAAGGAGCTGGTGTTTTTTTTTTTCTTGACAAGCCATTGACAAGATCTGTGGGCAAGATATGTTTATTTGTCATTGTTTGACATCTCGGGAATTTGTAAATACAAAGTTTGAATACAGGGGTTTATTTATCAGTAGTTTTATCAGTTATAGTAATACATAGTAAAAATATTGGAAAAATAATTAAAAACTGGATGAATAAAAAGTTTTAATGCATAGTTGGTTTTATTTTGAAAAAAGTAAAAAACATTTGTTATGAAAGTCGGGTGATTTCACTGATTTCATTGAGTTATCACGTAAAATGTGATTTTTTCAGCTTTGGAAGCATTTGGAGAACAAGCATAGGATAATAACTTGGCATTCGCATTTTTTTACGATTGTGTTGGTTGAAAATAACAATATTAAGACCGCTCCGTCACTTCCTGTTCAAAAATAAATTTTCATCCATAGTTCTGAAATTTCTTCAAAAATGTTCAAATTTGACGTTTTCGTACACATCATGATCCGCAGATACCAAAAATGCGAAAAAAATATTGGGATGCCATTCAAAATTACGGAGTTAAGACCATTTCCGGTCAAACCGGAAGTTACTAAACATTGACACACATGTCAAAAAATGACATTGCTCAAACCTACACTCCATACCAAAAATCTTTGCCATCGAAAAAAAAAAACCAGCAAATGCCAGCGCGAAACTGATCTCGTAGACACCCGGTATGTACATATACGTCCCTGTGGACGTATATGTACATACAGGGTGTCCCACGGTGGATGGCGTATTAGACGTTTATGGAGAACTAAAAAGCGGATCATTTTGAAAATTTGGCAACCGGGATAAACGACCATGATCTACACTTTAAAAATATTCTTGACCATGCGTTGTTGCCGCTTCTACTCTAAACTAGTGGCAACATCACTATTTTAAATGAAACACCCCGTATTAAATTGCATATTTGGATTCTACGTAAAATTCTGAGCAGATTTCATGTGATATACACTATACCTAAGTTCAACTGTTTTGGAAATATTGACAGTTGAAAATTGACTTTTTGCAACTTTGACAGGCTGTAAAACCTAATTGGTTAATTTTAGAGGAAAACCGATTTCACATTCCTATCTTAGATTTTGATAAACTATCATTTGACACCAACTTTGAACTTAACCGGAGATTAAATTTAACTGAAATTTTTAATCATGGATTTAATTCAAAGTTGGTGTCAAATGATAGTTTATAAAAATCTAAGATAGGAATGTGAAATCGGTTTTCCTCTAAAATTAACCGTTCAGGTTCTACAGCCTGTCAAAGTTGCAAAAAGTCAATTTTCAACTGTCAATATTTCCAAAACAGTTGAACTTAGGTATAGGGTATATCACATGAAATCTGCTCAAAATTTTACTTAGAATCCAAATATGCAATTTAATACGGGGTGTTCCATTTAAAATAGTGATGTTGCCACTAGTTTAGAGTAGAAACGGCAACACCGCATGGTCAAAAATATTTTTAAAGTGTAGATCCTGGTCGTTTATCCCGGTTGCCAAATTTTCAAAATGATCCGCTTTTTAGTTCTCCATAAACGTCTAATACGCCATCCACCGTGGGACACCCTGTATACAGAGTGAAAGAAAAGTCTGGAAATGGCTAATCATCTTCAAAACCACACGTGTGATTATGACAAAAAACAAACACAAAGGTATTGGATAAAGGAACTATATAGATTTGAGGCAATTGAATTTAAAACTTATATTGTATGGAAGATCCCAATCATCATCATCATAGGCGATCACTCGACACCGAGTATGATTATCATCTATTCTATACTATTGTCGTCGATCGTGCGTTTTCTGATGGCTATATACCTAAATCAATTCTAGAGCTGCACTCTTCCACAGTCTCCGAACACCCAATCTCTGGCAGCATTTTCTCTTCCTCTATTTTCTCGCTCCTTCCTGCAGTTCCTCTTTTTGGTCAATGTCTGCGTCGTTGTCCTTCAAAAGTTTGTAGTCCGTCGCGAACTACTCGACGCCATGAGGGCCTATCATTTGCCGTCGTCTCCCAGTTGCTGGTATCGATGCGGCACTTTGTCATGTTTTCCTTTAGAGCATCTTTGTAACGTTTTTGTTGACCTCCATTATTTCGTTTACCCTCTCTCAGTTGACTGTAGAGAATCTGTCATGGAAGAGGTGTTCTGGGCATGCGGACGAGTGACCTGTCCAGTGAAGTTAGTGCTTAATGCTGGTTGTTGGTATTAGAACTGAATTGTGGACGCGAAGTTTGGGCTCAGCGCTGTTATCGTAATTGTTGAAGACTCTCTCTAAAAGTCGCCCGGATGCAGCGTTAGATGGTTGACAGATGGCTCCCATAAGGTATCAGATGAGCCTCGACAAGGTGAAATATGGATCCTATAAATAGAGAAAATAAACTGCGAGTATAACACAGCCCTGTTTCACGCCTATAGTTATTAGAAAAGACTTTCCTTGTCCATCGTTGTTGGACGGTTGCGATCATACAGCAGGCCAAGTATGCGGACATCCAACCTTCGCCATCCAGATTCCAATAATGAAAAAATATACAGGAGGAGAGGAGCAACGCTCAAAGAGATAAGGAAATCTGGCAACATCGTAGATATTATTTTTGAACTCGTCAAGTCGAATAATCCCTAGGTATCAAAATTTTGTTGAATTCGCAACTGTGGTTTTGGAAATAATTAGCCTTTTCTAGACTTTTCCCCCGTATACCTACACGATTGGATTGAACAAATTTTCTTTTAGACTGAGATTGTTGGAGGAATAACAGGAGATTTCATCTTAAAAGACGGAATAAGAGAACAATTCGAACTAAGCATCATCCCTATCAACAACATGGATAAACCTATTGGTATCTGGAACGCTGATAATCCAAACGTAGTTTTTCTGACACGTAATGCTACTGAACGAGAAGCAGAATTACAAAAGAGACTGCAAAGTCATAATTTTATAGTGACTTCTAGGTAAAAATATTCCATAGGATCGTCATAATAGTAACTTTTGTTTCTAGAATTGGTAGTCCATATTTATATGATAGGAAAGATGCAGAAGCAGTCGGCAATGCAAGATATTATGGCTATTCAATAGATTTGATTGCGGAGATTGCCAAATTGTTGAATATCACTTTTGAATTTCAAATTACCAAGGATAATGCGTATTTAAATTTGCAAAAAGATCTCATCGAAAGGGTTAGTTTTCAAAATGTTCCAATTCCTAAGCAATACACCTTTTTTTTTAAGAAAGCCGATTTAGCCATTTGTGACTTTACCATAACACCTCAAAGAAGAGAGGTAATTGACTTTAGTATGCCATTCATGAGCCTGGGCATTGGAATACTGCATAAAACCGTTACTGAAGATGAAGAGGTCAAACTATACGGTTTCCTGGGACCACTATCCTCGAAAGTGTGGTTTTATATTGGTGCTTTGTATCTGTTTATATCGTTTGTTTTGGTACTTATTGCAAGGTAGGTTCCTAGCTGAATTAATATCTATAAATATTCACAAGATAACAGAAAATAATTTTTAGGATGTCTACGGAAGACTGGGAGAATCCTCATCCTTGCGAACAGAGCCCTTCAGAACTTGAAAATATGTGGGATCTTAAAAACTGTTGCTGGCTCACTTTGGGATCAATTACTACTCAGGGATGTGATATCCTACCAAAGTAAGCAACTATCAAATACTAATAGACCATATAAAAGACATTTTGGTGAATAATTTTCCAATTTTTAGAGGTGGGTTTACCAGACTAGCAACAGCAAGCTGGTGGTTCTTTTCCTTGATTATAACTAGTTCCTATACAGCAAATCTAGCTGCCTTTCTGACCATGTCAAAAAAAGACGATTCTATAAAGACTGTAGAAGAACTAGCTACACAATCTAAAGTAAAATTTGGTAAGGAAATATGTAACAAACAATAACTGTCAAGCAAATTGTTAATGATAATAATTTTCAGGTTGTCTAAACGGTGGCGCAACAGCCAGTTTCTTCCAGTACTCCAATAATAGTTTATATCAAAGAATGTGGAATACCATGATCAATGAAAAACCTTCTGTTTTTGAAGAAAGCAACCTTAAGGGCATGGAAAGGGTTCAATCGACGAAAAACGCTCTTTATGCATTTTTCATGGAGTCTACTGGCATAGAATATGAAATGGAAAGAAAATGTGAATTGAAACGTATTGGTGACTTACTGGATTCCAAATCGTATGGAATTGGAATGCCAATGAGTAAGTTTTATAAATATGCTTCAAGGATCAGATTCAGACTACTGTTAAAATTATCCTAGATGCTGAATATAGACATTCAATAAACGCAGCTGTACTGAAACTCCAGGAAACTGGAAAACTAGGAGAGTTGAAGGAAAAATGGTGGAAAATTGAGCGTGATGGTGAACCATGTCCACCTGTAAGCAGTTTTGTGAAACCAGTTAATGTTAAAAAAATAATAACTTAATTTTCGCAGGAAATTCCCGTTAATACTGATGCTCTAGCACTTGTCAATGTAGGTGGAGTTTTCATAGTCTTAGGAGTTGGTATCGCACTAGCATTCTTCATAGCAACATTGGAGTTTCTATGGAATACTTATAATGTTGCTCTTGAGGAACATGTAAGTGATTTCTCAATAATGGAAATGTTTCCAATAATACTTTTTCAGATTACCTATTTGGAAGCCCTCAAAATCGAGGTAAGTTTCGCCTGCAACGTTTTTGTTACAGAAAAACGCGTCAAGCCTTTGATATCTGAAACCTCATCGGCAAAATCGAAAAATACTGATGAGACCAAGACCAAAAATGGTCTTTTGCTCGGAGCAGGATCATTTCTGAATGTCAATGCCAGTATCATTAATAGAATTGGTTCTATTTCAAACGTAGAAGAGGCTACTCTTCACAGTGCAAAGTCTGAATCAAAACAAGGTACCTACCTAGTTAATTAATTTAAGAAAAGTAGTTAAATTAGTTTGAGAAATAATGACCTAACAACTGTTATATCATTCCAACAAAAATGGGTGCACCTCTACTTATCTGTTAAATTGAATTTCAAATAAAACCTCGAACATAATATGTTTTTTATTTCTTTTGACTGACCTTTCATAAACATAATTTACTTAAAAATATAATCATACTATTGTAAACCCTATTTTGAGTTTCATATAGGTAATTGAAAACTGAGATCTAGTCGTCCATCTACAAACCCTCCTTGCGCTTCTTAAGCCTCTCCTGCAAGTTATCACAAGCAGCTTTGTCTTCAATTTGATCAGCTGGACAATTTAACTGTATTTCCGTGACGAGGCAGTATGCCAAATTGACGCCTGCTTGGAGACAAATTTTGAGACCTTCGGTGTTATATTCAACCGGGTTTGCATTGGCGGCTTTGACTTCAGTAACGCAACTGCTGACGATTTTTTCCACATGTGGTAGCAACCAGGATTCTTTGGCGAAAGTTTCCCTAAGGAATTTGGAAATTGAATCAGCATTCGGTGTACCATCTCCAGTTACCCAGCCCGACTTCTCAGAGACGCATTGTTGAATGCACTAAAAGTAATTTAGTTAGTATAACTGTGTTTTTTGATAATTAATTTGTTCATTTCTCGACAGTTAAATTTTTTTCTCTGTTTCAGAAAATGTTATTTTTCCCGACACTCTAGTATTATTGCCAGTTATAATTATTATTACTTACAATTTGGCCGCTCTTTTTCTTCACAAATTCTTCGCAGTATAACTCGTCAGTAACTTCGTATCCGGTTACTTCTTTGAAGCACTCCTCATACATATTGTCTTTGTCAATGTTGCGGAGAGAATCTTCGCCGCAACACAATTTTAGCCTGGGGAAAGGCCTTTCGCATTCATAGGATCCATTCTACAGGATTTATAATTATTCGAAACAATATAATATAGAATAACTAAATTTAAAACTTACTGCTGATGCAGCTACATTGTCGCGTCTGAGACGTGGTGGTACCAGAGCAGCACTCAGAGAGCTGACAAATTCTTGTGAGTCGGCATAGAGGATTTGATCTGGAATGGAAAATATTATTAAATTTTATTGCAGTCGAGCTAAACAAAGATATGTCTCAAGAAAAGTATTTTAGCTATATGTATGTATGTATGTATGTATGTATGTACAGTGTGTCCCATTTCGGTTGTACATAATAGACTGTGAGATAGGGACTGTTTAGTGGAGTCATTTTTTCTTGTCTGGCATTTTGAGGGCTGAATGTGGCTTGTTAGCTGATGAGAATATGGATGATTTTAATGCCTGCCACCCGTTCAAAAATTTGGAGAAGGAAAAAATTGATTTACATGAAGATTTTTTTTTTATTGATCTGAAATTTTTTGGCTTTTAACCCTCCGTACACACACTGGGGTCTACCGGACCCCAACAAAAGTTTGAATGCTTGATAAATTACGAAACTTCTAGTGATGGATTCAAGACTCCATGTAAATTAAGTTTATGTCCCTCACTACCTAAACCCCAAACGGCAGGATCAAGCATTTATTAGTTTATATGACTGACAAGCGTGTTAGTATGTCGCGGGGTCAAATATACCCCAGCGTGTGTTGCGCGTAACTTATTTGTGTATATACTTTTTGTATGTATCGAATAATTTTATACCAATTTTTTTTTTTGTATTATATGTTACTTTTTTGATAAGAGAATTCATTAGATTTTATTCAAGAACATTCGTTTTCGTTGATAGAAAGTTATTTTTCCACTAAAGGATTTTTATTTAATTTTTTGCATGGGTACAGTGTAACAGAATATTTATTTGTTTTTTAGTACAAAAATATTAATTTTTCAAGTGTTTAGTTTTTTGAACAAATAAACATCTATTATTATCCCAAACGTGTATTTTTTTTGTGTTAAGAACCAGCAAAAAATGCTTGGGGTATCATGTCATTAAACCCCATTAAATTGATTTCTAGATCTGACGACAGATTGGGAGACTATGAACCCAATAAAAAGGAAAGGCAGGACAGCCCCATTCCCCAAGTCACGAATTTAGGAACTATGTTGGCAACACAAGCCTTTTCTACATAAAAAAATTGAAAGCATTGACAATTTCACATTGTATTGCCAACATAATGTCATTTTTACTTTTATCTTTAAAAAAAAAACAGACTTTATATAAAACTGTGGGTACCCAATATCATTCTATGTTTAGGGCATATTAGTTTAGGAATAAAGCGAGACACAAAAAAAAATAAAAAATAGAACAAATTCTAAAAGAAAACGCAACTCTACTGAATTCTTCAAAAACCAATTTCAAAATGCTCAAAGTTTAAACTCAGGAACCTAAATTACAAAAGTTACTCACTGAAACCATTGTCCTCGAAATTGTAGCCATGACAAACGACGGCCACGAGAAAAACTAATGCACAATAAATCACAAACTTGTTCATATCGCAGAAACTATTTCGCCACTGATTATTGTAAGCTGGCTGATGACGTTTATATAGGCTGCGTTCTTTTTTTAACTGTCAGTACTGTCATCTGTATTTGCTGGGAAGCGTTCCAAAATTAAAATTCAGTGTACCTAATGGTGTAGGTACCTACTGATTTACTGAAAAAATTACTTAAGAAGTCACCAATACGTCACTAATTTAGTACTGTGTTCGCTGTATTTGGGAAGCTACTATAATCCAGTAAAAGTGGTGGGGTGTGGGTTTTTTCCATGTTTATTCGTTCTGCTGAATGAACACTCGAGGCGTTTTCGGAAGAATCAGACGATGATCAGAAAATTAAAATTAAACAATAATTAGGAAAACAAAATAAGGCAATCCAAAAGATAGATTCAATATGGCGGCGAAGATCAAACATCACTCATCCTTGATGTGTGTTTGTTTAAAAACTGTTCGAAAAATGAACCTTCATAGAGGACTAATAGAAAATCCAAACTTATCCAAACTAGCCAGGTTATTGTTATTGTTGTTGGTAATGTCAGACTTAAATTGCAAAATAGCCCAAATTAACCGATAATTTGGTTAGTTTGTGCTAGTTGGCAGTTTTGAGAGGACATTACAAAACTTATCGATAATAACCCGCTAAGTTTTGGTTACTTTGCAATTTAACTTAAACATTTCCAAACTTACCAATGATAACCCGGTTAGTTTGAGTTATTTTGCAATTTTAGTCTAGCATTACCAACAACAATAACAATAACTTGGTTAATTTGGATTAGTTTGCAATTTTTATCTATGTAAAATCAATAATTCGGAAAACACAATGGAATGTTTGATTAAAATTGCAAACTAACCGGGTTATTATCGTTAAAAGTTTATTAATGTCTTCTTAAGTCTTCAAACTCACCGGGTTATTATCGGTAAGGATAACGCACACTTAAGAGATTTTTGGGCTCTATGGTTTTTGCCCATTTTTGTATATGTTTTAGAGGATTTAATTCTCAACAACCTCTAAATGGGACGGAAATCTTGTAGGTATAACGGTCTTTGAGATATGAGCGTTGAAAGATGAACTTTTTTGCGACTTTTTGTGTGGAGAGTATACGAAATACTGGTGCTACTGGTGTTTATCAGTCAAAATATTGACAGATCCACATATTTTACATCACTATTAGATTATTGTCAACATAGGCTAAGGCCAGTGGGACCACAGGCCTCAGTGTGGTCCCAGAATATGTTGACATTTGCTTGTGACGTACAATATGTGAACCTGTCAATATTTTGACTGATAAACACCAGTATTTCATATACTCTCCACACAAAAAGTCGCAAAAAAGTTCATCTTTTAACGCTCATATATCTCAAAGACCGTAATACCTACAAGATTTCGTCCCACTTAAAGGTTGTTCAGAATTAGATGCTCTACAACATATCAAAAAATGGGCAAATTCCATGGAGCCCAAAAATCCCATGTTAGGTGTGCGTTATTCTAATACACAGAAAACAGTTTTAACAAAACGTCATGGTTGGGTTGTCTAAAGGTAAATGAAATCCTTATGCCATCAATTTCATTGTTTGCCCTAGGCCAGCATATTGATTAGATTTAAATTTTTTTCCTAAAAGTTCGTGCCAGCTACGCCTCTAGTATCAAGGATAAGTGCGCTTAAAGGTCTTGTGGTATTTGATTTCTTCTCTACCTGTTTATTAATTTTCTTGCACTGTTGTAGATGCATTAGAGATATATGTGAACTGGATGCTGTATGATTAAAAAGTTATATTTAGTCGCCTACCCAAAGTTTCCTTGTGATTGTGCAGTTAAACAAATAAAAAACTGCTCGAACTCATCGAATTTCAGTCTTCTCTTAAATAGAAACCTATAATTACATAAGGATAACTTTCACCCGAAGCTTACACCCCTGGACGCCAAGGCTTGTAGTTTTGAAGAAAAAAAAACAAAAACCACTAGGTAAATAATTTCTATTCTACTTCGATTCTGTAGAATGGATATTATCCGAGATTCACATATCTACTAAAGCATTATCCATCTAATTTTCAGTTTAATAAGCTGTAATCATAAAACATCACATTTCCGAACTCTAGTGCGATTTTCCGCACGCATTAAACACACAAATATCAGCATTGAGAATTATTGAAACAATAATGGTAATTATTAAATTATTTCGGTTTTAACTTAACTTTTATTTTCAAGTAACACACTGGTTACTTTATGCTTAAAAATGTCGAAAATTTTATGGTACATCAAACGTACAAATTATTATTAAAAGTTCTCGATTTTATTGTCCTGAGAAAAAGGCACATTATTTCAGGGTTGTTTTTTTTTTATTAATAAATAAATAAGTTTTATTTGTAAGAGTAGGTAACCTATATTAAGAAAAATCACTTACTCGGTTTGTTATTAATACCAAGTACATTATTGCAAAAGAAATGTTGTCAAATAATGGTGTTAAAATTTACATTAATTAGGTCCTTCTATCTCGTAGGAAAAATAGTTTTCCTAACTCGTGCGGAAAGTCTCTTTTCCTCACTTGATTGCTTGCCAAACTCCGCTACGCGTCGTTCGGCAAACTGCAATTGCGTGCGGAAAAGTGGCACTTTCCGCACTAGTAAGGAAATATACTACTATTATTTTGTTGTGATAATAAGGCGAAAACTTACTGGAAGTGATATTTGAATAGTTTTAGTTTTGATAATCATTTAATAATTATGTATATACTATCGTAATGATTCACACAATGAGTGGTATGAATAAAAAGTGAGTTTAAACTCGGAATATATACTCGTGAGCATGAGTATGAAGTCTGAGCTTATACTCCATTTCGTAAGAATAAAAAAGATTTCGGTTTGATAAGTACATACTCCTAGTACATAGAGTAGATACTCAACATTTTATTTTGCTTGCCATTGCTCTTTCGTTTCCATATCCTATTCACAATCCGATGTCCACAGGTACAGGTAAACTTATATCCTATATCCTATATCCTATATCCTATCAAATAGCATTGAAAGGTGATAAATTTTACCTGTACCTGTGGACATGGGATTGTAAATGGATAATATTATATCCGCAGGACTGCGGGGAAATTTGATCCACCGTTCAATTTGCTGAATTATCTTATCAGCTACTTCCAATACAACTTTAGACACCGAAGTTTGGTGAACACCAACATCCTCGCCTACTCCTGCCTGAAAGCCCGGGTCACCCACGTATCTGTAAAATATTTTAAATTTGTCTTTGTTGCATAGAGCACCACCTCTTCTTTCTCCAGACTCTTCACCCAAAAATTAATTTGATAACCACTCCACATTTTTTTTACTAAACCGGTACAACGTTTTGAAGTCCCAATCACACGTATTTTTTCTAGCTTTGTAAAATTTTTCCGAACGCAGGTTAAGATTGAAGAACTCTGCCATAGCTCTGCATTCTACCGAGGGAAAATCGGTACTGAAATAACTTGAAGCAGAAAGTTGAGTCTACTGCATGGTATACTCTTAAACTATGGAGTAGATTCTCCTGCCGAAGAGCACAAAGAATTTTTTATTCATACCAAAAGTGAGAATCTACTCATACCAAATTATACATAGGAGTACCTACTCAAGCGAAACATCTCGTAGTTTTTATTCATACCACGTGGAGTATTTACTCCAAAATTTGGAGTAGAAACTAAATGCTCATTTTTATTCATACCACCCAATATAAAGCTTTATAAAAATTAACAATTAATAATCCTGATTCGAGTCATTACTGACTAACTATTTTATCATATCAGCAGCCATTACAAAATGTATAGAACCATGAGTGCATATTTGATTGTTCCAGTCACGTAATAACTAATATGCTTTTTTTAACACTGTTATTCACCTTGTAGAGGAAAATTCCGCATAAAACCACCTGCATGGAAAAAAATCACAAAAAACAAAATAAAGCAAAATTTGGACGGGGAGTTTGTTATCCAAGATGGCATCAGCCAAGATGGTATATTGAATTAAAAGTATTAAGGGGTTCTCTCTAATACTAAGCACATTAAAATGCTTAAAATTTACCTATTTTAAGTTTAAAGTGCATGGGCATCAAGATGGCCACCTAAGAAGGAGAAAAAAATGACCATTTCATACTTTAAATATTGTTTATGTCCGATTGACCAATAAAGTGATAATTATAGAACAGTTTTGCGTCAATAAAGTAGCACTGGGTGTTTGATACATCGATAGGAAGTTTTCAATGAGTGATATTTCGGGTCATTGGGAGGCTGTTTGACCACATTTAATTTTATGCAAAACTTCGTCGTTTTTGAGATATCAGCATTTTTAGATATTTTTGAATTGTTCCTAAAACATATTGTTTTTTTTTTCTGGTAGTAAACACTTTACCCTTTCTCAATTTTTTTTCCTCTTTCGAAAAATGCGGAAAAAAAAACGAATGTTCATAAAAAAAATATGTAGCCCAAGTTATGTGTTTGAAATACATGGATTCAAAATATCTAAAAATGGCGATATCTAAAAAAACGGCGAAAATTTTCATTTCATTGGGGTAAATATAGTCAAACAGCTTCCAAATGACCCCAACTATGACTTACTGAAATATGCCTATCGATTTACCTAACACCCTGTATAACGCTTACATGAACAGGCTTTCTTGACTCAGTATTCAATAGCTTCGCTCGGCCATAAAATTATTCGTACAATAAAGCCTTAAGCGGCGTTTCCACTTGCATAGTTTATTGGCGCTAGTCGACTGGCGTAACTTTTCTGGCACGTGGAAACGCAGAAAATTAACTGGCACCAGTTAACTGTCGCCACTTTTTCATGCGCCAGTAAAGTAGAATGGAGGTCTACTTTTTGGCGCCAGTTTGCCATGTGTGACAGTTTGTCAAAAAAAATACAAACATTAGCCATTTCGTGTCCTTAGTTTGAATGATGGTGGATTTCGTGGGTTATAGGATGGGACAAACAAGAAACTACCAGATGTGTGGCAACGTTTCGGTTTTAATTAAACCTTTTTCAAGCCCTAGTAATAAAGATAGGCACTTTAATATGGTTTTTAAATATGAAATATGTGGGATGCTTACTCAATCTCCTGTTTC